ACGTACACATACACATACACATTCACATACACATACACATACATATACATACATATACACACATAGACATAGACATAGACATAGACATAGACATAGACATAGACATAGACATAGACATAGACATAGACATAGACGTAGACATAGACATAGACATAGACATAGACGTAGACGTAGACATAGACGTGGACATAGACGTAGACATAGACGTAGACATAGACGTAGACATAGATATGGATAGAGATAGAGATAGATAGATGGTATCTGACGGGCGGACTCTCGAACACTTTAGGTCTCTGGGAGGGATACGCATAGCTCACGGTCGAAGGCGAGTACCCGACGGGTGGAGGTACCTGACGGGTGGAGGTTGCTGACGTGCGGAGGGCGGGTAGCTGACGGGCGGAAGGTTGTTGACTTCGCGGGTACCTGACGGGGAAGGTTGCAGACGGGTGGAGGGTTGCTGACAACGGAGGAGGGATTCGCATAGCTCACAGTGGAGGACGAGTATACCTGCTGGGTGGTTGCTGACGCGCGGAGGGCGGGTAGCTGACGGGCGGAGGCTGCTGACCGGCGAAGGGTTGCTGACAAAAGAGAGCTAATGGGGTGGCGAGTAGCTGACGAGGGAGGTTGCTGACGGGCTGAGGGTTGGAAGGATACGCATAGCTCATGGTGAAGGCGAGTACCGTATGGGCGGGGTACATGATGCGTGGAGGGAGGGCGTGTAGATGCGGGTGGAGGTTGCTGACGCCAAGAGGACGGGTAGCTGACGGGCGGAGGGTTGCTGACAAAAGATCGAGACAGATAGTGTCTGGCGGGGACAGATAGCACCTGACGGGCGGAAACCTCTAACCTCTAGCCAGCAGGTATCCGAAAGGGGTTAGAGGAAGAGGTTATGCGAGGTACATTATCTTACCCACCTGCTTACCTATGCACATACCTGCCTACTTGCATATTTACGTAGTCTCTTATTTACTTAACCGCCTGCCTCCTTACTTACTTAATGACTCCATCGAACAGTAACTTACTTACTTCCTGACGCACGTTCGCACTTACTTACCCACCTACTTACCTACTTACTTACTTATTTATTTACTTGCTTATGTTCTTTCTTACTTGCTTGCTTACTTTTACTTACTTGCTCTCGTGCTTGCTTGCCTGTGAGGAGATATTTATGCACCTACGTACCAACTGACTACTTACCTGCTAAGTTATGTACTAACTTACTCACCTACCCTTCTACCTACTTACGTCTTTGCTCAAAGTAATACCCGTTTCGTGACTTGCTTGGTTACATAGTTTTTTCCTTACTTATTTGGTTGTCTGCTCCATTCCTTCCTTCTTTAAACCTTCCTTCCTTCCTTCCTTCCTTCCTTCCTTCCTTCCTTCCTTCCTTCCTGTCTTCTTTCCTTCCTTACTTGCTTACTTGCTTGCCTACTTGCTGCAATGATTGTACATGGTGTGTTGATATACTTTTTTGAACAACTACTCAACTTGCTACTTCCGCACTCAGTCGCTCACTCCCTCAAGTTGCTTGCTTTGGCTGTCTTCGCTGTGCTTGACCTTAGTTTACTTATTCATGCTTTTGCTGTTCTGTATTTTGCTTTACTATATCTCAGCAACTTTACTTTGTTTGTCTTTTTGTTGCTGTGGTTTGCTTCTAGCTCCACTTCTACTCGTACTGATGGGACACTGATGAGACAACTCAACACTGATGCTACTGCCCGGCTGCTTCTGCTGCTACAGATGCTTTGCCTACGACAATGTTTGCTGCTCTGTTGTCGCTGCTGCTGCCAGAACAGTCGCAGTGACGTGAGCGCAATCCTTGCTATCACAATTGTTCATGCCACATCAAAGACGCCCTGCCTGACGAAGGTGTCTCTGATTGGCACCTGCAGCGTGCCACATCTAACTCGTTACCACAGCGCTGCAAGCTTTAGTTTCAGCCCTCAATCCTGAAGCTTGTCTCAGACAAAACCGACAAAATTATGCAGATGGGAGCAAAATAGCTTTCTCGCTTCGCTTGCAACGTGCACCCCAACAATTCAGTGTCGGCCTGATGCATCATTGGTGTCTGCATCCAGTACGTCTCGCTCGCTTCGTCGGGACAGGCTGTGCCAGTTGTCCAGTCTAGCTGCTTCGACATATAGCCAGCCTTGGCACAACGGTCCAAAACAACGGCAAACTGCTCTCAGGCTTTCTGATGGGCAGATTAGACTGAGACGGCCTCCAAGCTGCAACCCTGACCCTGACCTCTGAACATCTTTCAGCTTCTACAAGAATCCAAAGCCAAAGCTTAGTCAGCAGGCGTTGCCCTGCGCAAAGGCGATGCCGTACATGCCATCCTCACAGCCCGGGCCCTGCCTTGGCTGGGTACAATCGGGTACAGCCCAGTCTCTGTGACCAAGAAATCCCAATGTCTCGCTCCACTTCAGCTTTCGCACAACACGATATGTCGTAGGTTTTCTCAGGTTTGAGGTTATCACGAGAGAAGTCACTTCAAATTTCAAGACACGGCATCACCCAACGATGGCCACGCTGCGTCATCATGCCGTACGATGCATGAGTCACGTCGCCGGCATAGACCTGCACACGCACACACTCACGACAAATATTTTAGGGGGAGTGCTGCAACTGAAAGAGTCTCGGACTTCGAGAATTGGAACCATCACATCCAAGGCCAACCTACACCCCAAGGACCGAGATGCAAACCTAGGACGTCAGCCAACAAGACAAACAAAAACTCAACCACTCTTACGTGTCTCACTTCGTGCCGGAATGCCGAAGCCAGAGACAAACAAATGCCAGTTGATGATTCTCACGTCAAACGCAGTTGGCAAAGCGCTCCCAAACAATTCAGTGTCGGCCTGATGCATCATTGGTGTCTGCATCCAGTACGTCTCGCTCGCTTCGTCGGGACAGGCTGTGCCAGTTGTCCAGTCTAGCTGCTTCGACATGTAGCCAGCCTTGGCACAACGGTCCAAAACAACGCGGCAAACTGCTCTCAGGCTTTCTGATGAATAACGTCAGAAACAAGTGACCACGCAACCCCAACTCGATGCAGTTGCGCACATACCTGCCTCTCACTCTGCTTGAAGCTTCCCCGGAAGAATCTAGTTCCAAACTTGGCAGCTCAGTGTCGTCACCCTGTATGTAGCCCATACCTTGGAGCCCGTCGTCGCACTGCATACCACCCGACCTGGGAGTGGAAGCTCGAGCTGAAAGGTAGGCCTCCCAACTCTTATGGCTCCTCATGGAGAGGTGCAACTCCAAGACTGGCAAAGCTATTGTGACCCGGCTGCGTCATCATGCCGTACGAGGCTTGTGGCAGTTCGCCGGCATAGACCTCTCCAGCTCCCACACATATCTGAAAAGCCGACAACAGTTACACTGGAAGCATTTACACTGACAAGCCGCTTCTGAACCTTTCCCAACCCATCAAAGTTCCAAAAAACAAAAGCTTGTCAAACCCGCCCAGCTCGAAGCCGACATGGGATGGGAATCCTTTGTGTCCAAATGCCAAGATATCGGCACCCTCGTCACTAGGTCCAAAATGCAAAAGTCTGCACCTAACTTCGAACTGGGACCATTAACCGCAGATTGAATTTTCGCTGACAAACGAGAGAAGCTTGTGCCTCTGGCTCGCGATAGGCATGCCGAAGGTCAGACTCCATCCTTGCTCAGACACATCTCCAGAATCAGGTTCAAGTAAACAAGACTGCTCTTCAAACTCCTGGCCACAACAAGCTTGAGCTTCAGGGATTCACATGTGGGCCGAAGCTTCTCGTCTGTGTCTGATTCTAAAACTTCGGTCTCAACTTACGTCACAAGTCCTCCCAGTTCTGGATTGACACGACAGCTTCCCATCCCCACTTACATCCTATGGCGGAGAGCGGAGATGCCACGCACACCAGTGCAAGCTGGCCGCTGTGAGGTTGGAAGCACATGAGCCGAGTAGCCCATGGTTGCAGCCGAAATGCTTCTGCGCTCATGCAAGAACTAGCAATCTCGCATGAAAACACCCTTACTGCAGAACCCTCGTTACACTGCTCCTGTGCACAACATGTCGAGCTGCTGTCCTCGTCGGTGCCTTCATGCTGTCTCGGCTGTTTTTGTGACTGGCAAGGTATGCGCCTGGGTATCTGATCCATGCTCTTTGACAAGCCCCGTCATTTTGAAGGTCTTTGGAGCGAAAGATCTTCCCCATGGGCTCTGCGCAGCTCTGGGGCTGGACTAGAGCTTTACGTTCCGCACATACTGAGCGCGAGCGCTTCCCGGAACGACGGGCATGCCGTCAGCTTATGACTCTGGCCCGAGATTATCCTGAGTACGGACCAGGTTCGCACGGACAGCTGCAGGATCTATCGTCATGCCTGCTACAGCAAGAGTTGCCGCGACCACTGGCTCATGACGGTTAAGAAACCCTCGCGGAAATGATCTGGCGGTGGAAGGTACAGGCGGCAATCATCCCATGGCTTCTCGCCTGCAGACAATGTGCCATGTTTCGTCGTCTTTCCATGCGTGCTGGTGCAAACCAACTTACTCATCATATCGATTATGGAATTTGGTTGCCGTTGCGGCTGTTCCGAATGCTTCTTACGCCACTCCGGCCACTAAACCGGCTGCTGCATGCTTCTGGACTGGTACATGGTAGATGTTCATGGGGAAACATATTTGTTCGACTGAGCTGTCTATGCTTCGGATGCTGACTATTGTACAGGCGAGGACGGAGATGACCAAGCACTCTGTTAAATGTTCAAGTCGACAGTTAATACGCAATACATTAACTTCGGCATAGTACTCAATGCTCTTATACTATACTATACTATACTATACTATATTATACTATACTATACTATACTATACTATACTAATGGGTGTCTTCCTGGACACACAGATATACACAGAGCCTAACCTTTTGGCACACG